AAACGGAGAAGTTGTAGTGGAAAATATTAACTTTTCTGAGCCTTGGTACAACCTAATCTCCGTCTTCCCTCCAACGCTTAGATTAAAATAGCAGTGGGGAGCCTTTAACGTTGACAGTCCAAAAGTTTATGAACTGCTGTTCCAATCATCCTTCATCATTGATGAAGTAATGGTAAATGGAGTCCACCAACATCTGGAGGGCCGTATTTTCCCCAGCCCTGCCACAGGAGAATTTTGCAGCAAGCCTGTGTTTAGAAGACGCCCATGGAACTGTATATAATGTGGGTTAATGATCTACCAGAGCTAGCTGGGTAGCCCAATAGTTTAGGTACCTGGCTACAGATCCAGAGATTGGGAGCTTGATTCCCCACTGTGCCTTCTGAAAGTAGAGCCAGTCTGTATGGCCTTGGGCAAGATGCACAGTCCCAGGATATTACTAGAAGAAGGGGATGGCAAACCACATCTATTTATTCTCTACCTTGAAAACCCTGGAAAGTGTTGCCATAGTCAGAAATGACATGACAACACATGCTGATGATGATGGTGACTAATCACTGTGATGCTATCAATGCTGGTATTGTGGACTAGGAATACAGGGGCCAGTATTTATTGCCAATTATATATATTTAAAATACTTTACTCTTCCTGCCAGTTATTTCGAAACTACCATTGGACACATGGTAGAGCGGTGATGAGAAAGCAGAGGAATGAGACATCGGCCACTAAGACCAAAACATCATATTGTGTCATTGTTCAAACTGCAAAGCCAGAAGGAAACTTTTCCTTAAGTGTTTCTAGAGAGCTGCTGGATCTTTAAGCAGTAATTATCACTCCTACTTTGGTTTGCTGCAGGAAAAATGATGTCATTTGTCCAGTGGGTTTTAATTTAATGGACTTCCTTCCCCTCTCCTGAGCAATGTCAAGACACAACCCACCCACCCAAAGAGATATTTGCAGATTCTGGAAAAGTAACCATTTTGCATTACAGTTCCCTAAATCCTACAACACAAATTTGCTTAAACAGAAAAAATAATAATGGAGGACGATCCCATTTATTAGATCAGTCTTACTCTCTGTTGCATAGCAGCCCAGATGATTCAACATTTGTTGTTTGCACAAATGGACAAAGAGCATAGAAAGGGGCCCTAATGATGTGCCTTTATTTCTGTCTCAATGACACATGGCTCTTCTTGGCCCTGACCCTCAGTCCACATATTTGAATGGTTGTCTGAAGTGGGGAAAATATTTGTACACTTATCCACAGAGGCTTCCCTGGGTTATGAATGCTGTGCAAACAGGACATGTATCATTGTGTAGAAGACTAGATTTTGGGTAGCCCTGCAGCAGCTCATGTTTCTCTCATTTTCTAACAACTGCATCCGTAACAATGAGGAGAGGGGCAGAACATTAAAAAGTTATGTTCTGGACAATAACCACCAGATCTAGCTGCCACTACCTCATTCAACGTAGCTGCTCTCTGGGGCAGTGGTAGCGGGTGCTAGCTGAGGTTGGTGAGACTGAATGCATAGCAACCAGTGGTGGGTGTTGCTAAGGGCCGAAGTGGGAATTTGTACACACACCTTCACATGGAGGCAAATCCACACTAATACACAAAAGCAAGCAGGAGGTGGGGGCGATAGGCATGCGTTCACATGTACACAAACACAGAAGCCTTCTGCCTGTGGTATGGCAGTCAACAACCAGAGGTTGAGATGGACACTGCTTTACTTGTTGCAGTGGATGAGTCACCAATCGCCTGGGGTATTACGGGAGCTGGGAGCCAAAATTTGTCACTCCTCCAAATTCTGCTGGTGAAAGCTTTACAGTGGGGTAGGATGCGGCACTAATCATTGCAAGAAAAAGTGCTCCTTTGTGAGCCATCCTTGCTTTGTTCATTTGCTTGCTTTCTTGCTTGGTTTTTTGAGATAGCATTTCTTCAGGTATAAGACCTGGAGAGACTACAGTGTTCCTCCAGCTTTATCGCTCACTCTTAATAGCAAACTTTCTTTCTTTCTTGGCACTGTTTTTCACTCTTTGATTCCATTTTGGGCTATTTCCCTTGCTGTTTTCATTTCAAAACTTGTGATTTCATTAATTGCTTTTGTTTTTAAATTTCTAAAGCTATATATTTGTTTGCACTGAGGGCATTGTTAGTTAGTGCATAAGCATTTTAAATAACTATATTAAGAAGTTATATGATATAGATGTATGGAAAGAAAGAAAGAAAGAAAGAAAGAAAGAAAGAAAGAAAGAAAGAAAGAAAGAAAGAAAGAAAGAAAGAAAGAAAGAAAGAAAGAAAGAAAGAAAGGGAGATGTTGCTGTACTTTTGTGAATGTTGCAAGAGAATATTTGGAATGGAAGGATATTACTGGCAAGACACGACATGTTTTGTAACCTAGGCCTAATTTCACATTTTTTTGGTGTGAGGTTTCATTTTATCTCTCAGGTGCAAATAGCTACTGTTCCTATGTGCTTGAGCCTGAGCAGGATAAATTAAGTTACACAGCAGAGGAAGACTCTCTTTTTTTATCTTAAAAGACGTCTCTTTAAAAGGTATCCATTTACCTTCCATGGGAGATGTTGCTGTACTTTTGTGAATGTTGCAAGAGAATATTTGGAATGGAAGGATATTACTGGCAAGACACGACATGTTTTGTAACCTAGGCCTAATTTCACATTTTTTTGGTGTGAGGTTTCATTTTATCTCTCAGGTGCAAATAGCTACTGTTCCTATGTGCTTGAGCCTGAGCAGGATAAATTAAGTTACACAGCAGAGGAAGACTCTCTTTTTTTATCTTCCTTGACTTGTGCAATCCCAGTGGTATGACAAGTGTCAGCAAACAGGGTCCAATGAAAGCCAAGGCCAAAGAATAATGATTGTTAGCATGCTTCTCTCAGGATAGGACCTGCTGACCTAGGAACTACTGCCCGACCTTCTTTGTGCACATGGCATAGATCATGCTGTGCTTGCTGCTGTCCTGTCCAATTGTGATGAATAGTTATAAGATCAATAAAACTGCTGCTGTGCAATTTTTCTAGTGTGTCACACAGATAGCGGTATATGCTGACCTTTTGCTCTTTTTTTCTCCTCTTCCAGTTAAGGCAAAGTGGGGAGGGGAGAGAGAAAGCAGAAAACAAAGCAGCTTGTCAGTAAATGTAAGCCCCATCAAGATAACGAGTTTTAAATCCTTTGCACTCCAGTTTTTCCTTCCAGGCCTGAAAGAAAGAAAGACTCGCCCCTTTTCGGTTTAATTCACACTCAAGGATACCATCTCCTGTCTTGATAGTGTGGAGGAAGAAGAGATAAAGTCCAGAATAAGGCTGTGCAGAATAAGGCTGTGAACCAATGTGTAGATTTGAACAGAACAAGGGTGTCCCTTGCTGGCTGGATAGCTCAGTGGCTTAAGTAGAGGTTGGGAGTTTGATTCCTCTCTGTTCCTCCAGGGAGAAGAGCCAGCCTGTGTAGCCTTGGGCAAGCTGCACAGTCCCCCGGGATGCCCCTAGAAGAAAGAAATGATAAACTACTTCTGAGTACTCTTTTTTCTAGGAAAACCTGGAAAGGGTTGCCCATAAGTCGGAATCGACAACAGCAAAAGCCAAGTCAAGGAGTATCGGTGCATTTCTGAACAACCAGAGAGCAGAGCAAAGAGCTCAGAGGTCTTAATAGGTCAGAACAACCCCCCCCCCCCGACTCCTCATATTAAATCTGGATATTAAACCTGACACTACATTTAGAAGTAGTGAAAGGAGAGTTAAAAATAAAGATGTTGAGTTGGTGACAACAGAGAAAGATAATATAAACCCTCCTTGCCTTTCCTGCTACAAAAGCATTGATTAAATTATCAAATGTGTGGCTGTAGCGTTGCTGATTTCAGATCCAGGGAACAAGGAGGAGAGAGAGACGGGGGGAAACTGTACAACTGTGCCCTTTAAACTGCGTTCCTGGTGTCTGCCTTAGGAAGCCAACTTTTCGGGTGGTTGGAAAAATGGATGTGGGTGGGCTGGATAAAAATAAAAAAATGCACTATTTTTGACTACAGCTCCCAGAATTCCCGAGCCACCACAGCCATGACGTACTCTAAAACAGAAGCATTCCCAAAGTCTGCTTTGGACCTTTTATCTAATGCATAAGTAGCAGAGAGGGAAAAATAGGGAGACACTATGTATGAAAACCCTTTTAATCCAGCTGTGTTAGATAGACCAGAAATAGAGAGGCTGCAATTAAAGCTTAACATGTGTTGATATTGTAGGTAGGTGACTGAGCCAGGCTTTCTGGGTTTGTGAAATGACAAAGGAATCATATGCTTAAGCCCTGAAGCCCAGTCACAAATACAGCAATTTAATTTGCATACTTTCAAGGATGAGTGACATTCCTGTTTGTGGCACTCAGATGTTTTCACCGATTAATGGTTTTCCTCATCCAATTGTGAACTATCTCTAACATGTGTTTCTGGCCTTACTTCCTTCTATCTCGTTTGTGGTAATGAATTTCCTTGGTCTAACTATGCAGTTTCAGTAGTAATAACTTTGCACAGCATACGTGGAAAAATGGAAGCTGAGATTCATGGGGAGGGCTTAAGACAACATTTGAATGCAACTCTTTATCCTGTTCATTCTCAGCCACAACATTGCAGGCCTAGCTCTTGATTCAGATGTCTGATTCCGAAGTTAGATTCTAAAAATACAAAAAGTCAGACATTTACTCTTAACCCTATAGGTTGCCATGCATATATTGCTAATTAACGTATGTTTTTTCAAGAACAGTGATGTTCTACTGTTACTTGTCAGTAACAGTTACCTGCTGTAAAAGGTTTTCTTCAGAAGTGAATATGCAGGTGAAATGCAGCAAGGAGCAAGTTTTCTTTTTACATGCAATAATCCTCCCACCCTTACTGCTTGTTAAGACAAGTTTGTATATTTAAAAAACTAACTACAGACAGTGGTTTCCTGTAAATGTACATTTCCTCTTTGTGATGTGAAAAAGAAAGTATGCTCTTGAAGACTATGCTCTTGAAGCGAGGAACCTTTTCTGTTGCTTACTAGATTGCAGGGGACAGAATGTGTGAACTTTTGTGAGAGAGAGACTGAATGTAGTTCTGTTGAAGTCTTTGTTTGAAATCATTCTTGGCGAGATAACCTAAAGATGGACATGAGACAGACATTGCAGACATATTATTTCCTCCCAGTATACTTCCTCCTTCTACATCTCATTCGCGGTAAGTTCATTTTCTTTCAACAATGCTACAGTTGTTAGCTTGCTATATCTCTGAACTGAGAATTAGAACTCGGTGCACTGTGCTGGAAATTGATTTCGGAAACCTTTGAATGACAGATTGTCTATAACGGAATCTTCTGGTTGGCCTTTCTTGCTAGGGCCAGCCCAAGACATTTTGCCACCTGTGGCAAAAGAGAAGATGCTCTCACACATCTGCATTTCACCTACAGAAGCCACCAGGACTGGCAGCTGAATCTTACACTGTCATTGATGCTAATATTAGTGGCCCCTCCACACCACCCAACATATGCTGCTTGAGGCAACTGCTTCAATCTGCCTGATGCTCAGTCCGGTCCAGACTCTTGGGAAAAAATGCTGGACTTTTGGAGCACCAGCAGTTCTGATGTTCTTAAAGACAAAACAAACTGGTCTATTTCCAGGGTCAGGTTTCTAAATTTTGTTTGTTTGTTTAAAATATTTATACACCACCTTTCTCTTAATGGATCTATGACAGTTTACAGTATTACAGAAACAAAGTTAAAAGCTAAATAAATAATTATTACAATATTATTAAAATATTTTTAAAAGCTTTAAACAAATATATTAAAACCTCCCAATAATTGATTTCTTATTTGTTTGCTTGCTTGTTTGCTTGCTTGTTTGTTTGTTTGTTTAAACTTTTACCCCACCCATTTACTCATCAAGCCACTACTTTGGGAGGCTTCCAGAAAAATAAAAAATATGTACAGCATTTTAAAAAAAGGAACTTATAAAAAGGAGAAAACCTTTTGGCAAACCATGGGCTGGCATGTTTGATTGTTTACAATATACCCCACATTTCACCTCAATGGGACTGAAAGTGGCTTAGAAAATCAAAAACAAGCAATATAAAAACTGGAAGGGGGTAGAATAAAATTAGTAAAATGATAATGTTAGAAATTCTTTTTTTTCAAATGAAGATACTGCCTGATTTATTATTTTGACACTCAGTGCCTTTACTCTAAATAGAACATCTTATAAATAAGAGCAGTAATTGTGAGCTTTGCTACTGAGTTGATCTTGTGCATTTAGCTCCCACCGACCCACCTTTGCCAGGGAATTTTCATGGGACCTGAACAGGCAAATTTCCTAGTGGGGTGGGCTCAAAGTCAGTACAAGCAAAATGACTGCCATACTACTGTTGTTCTAACCACTGGTTCTCCTACTAAGTGCTTGTGCATTCATTCAATAAGTCTCTTGAGAGATCTTGGCCCCACCAGATAAAGCAAGCAGCTGTGTCTCTGTATGGGATAACAAACTTATAATAAGGATAAAACAAACAAACTTTAGTCAGCCATGTGCAATAATTTTGACCTCACGACAACTTAAAAGGTACAGACACTCAAGAGCTGAAACACATTTTGAGATAAAAAGCCTATTAATAATAGTTAAGTATTAAAATATTTATGTCTAATTCCGTGTTGATGCTGCACTTTGATCTTCCTGTGCACTCTGAAGAATAATTCTCAGGAAGTACATCCTGTGTAAAGTTCTGTCAAAAGTGAAGCAGCTTCCTGAAGGCAAGATGCTGAATTCAGTGTAACTACCCTTTGAGACTGAGGGGTGCTTGGGCTGCACAATTTCAACATGCCATCTTGATTCCCTGTTTTGACTTGTCCCCCAAGGTTCATTCACACAACTTTTTGAAGCCAACATAGGTAAATTGTAGGGTCAAGATCAGAGTGAGGAACCTTTGGTCTTCTTGATCCTTCTAGGCTGCAACTCTCATCATCCTTGGCTGAGGATGATGGGAGTCCAAGAACAGCATTGCAATGAACTAGCCCAGAAACAGACATTAAGGCTAGGTCATAATTAGAGTAGAAACTATTTTGTTGCAGAGATATGACTAAGCTGGCCTTTCTGCATCTGCGAAATCAGACTTGAGCATAATGCTGAAGACCAGTTGCCAAGCGATCCAAGCTAATTGGTTTAGGATTAGAGAAGCTCATACTGTGATACTCAGACATTCACATTTGTGAAGGATTTTCCTGTTCCAAAGAGCAGAGAGAGGGGGATTAGATGTCTCCTTGCACAAGACTGGAAAAGGCACAAGCACTCATACAATTGGATCCAGACCAATGGGTATCTATGGCTTTTTTCAAGATGACCAGAAGGAAGTAATGTCTTTAAGCCTGGGGCTCTTTAAAAGATTCTTCTGTTGTTTTCTTGGGTTGTGTTGTTCTGTTTTATTGATTATAGTGTAATTATTGTGCATTTCGTTGTATGGGTATACTGTGTATATACTTACAATGACAATAAATTATTAGTATTATCATTATTATTATTAAACTACTTTTAGGGAGTGTAAATCTGAAGGCTTATCATCATTAAGAATGAAAAAAGGGTCTATGATTTGCCTGGTGAAGATGTGATTCTAAGTATAGCATCCTGAAAGAAAAAGGATTCAATGAAATCAGTTGTTGAATAGTGAGTGAACAGTTATTCAAATGACACTGAGTCAAAAGTTCCACTCTACTTAGCATTTGGATAACTGTTGACTCAGTATTCAACATTTGATTTTATGGCCAACTCTAGGTGGAACCAGCAGTTGGATTTAGGCTGAAAAGTAATTCTGAATTCTTATAATAAATGGACCTCTCTCTGTGTGTGTTGCAGTAGTAGATGCCTGTATTGCAAATTTCTATCTTGTATCTGTTTTGCATTCTAAAAATAAATATATGGGAATAGCTAGAATATGTGTAAATGATCACATGCATTTTTATTGACTTGTAGGCCAGTCTGAAATCATCATTAAGAATGAGAAAATGGTCTATGCCTTGCCCGGTGAAAATGTGACTTTAACATGTAACATCCTGAAAGAAAAAGGAATTCATGTAACACAGACTCAGTGGTCAAAGGTTTCTGATGTCCCAACAAGAAGAATAGCTGTGTACAACCCTCTCTATGGTACCATATACTCTGAAAAGGTTTACAGCTATTCTGTAAACTTCAGGAAGGATTCCCAACATTGCATGACAGACATCAGTCATGGCAATTTTACATCGAACTATACAGAATGTAATCAGTGGATTCTACAGTTCAAGAATGTGAGTCTCGAAAGTTCTGGCAAGTATGAATGTAGTTTTACTACATTTCCAGCTGGAGCAAGCAGCTCAGAAATCAATCTTGTTGTAATGAAGATTGGTAAGTAGCAGCGAACACATCGTTATCATTAGTGGTGGGCTTCTGTCCAAAATGGGGGAGGTTAGATTTTGAAGTGGACCACCCCCTCACTCCATCTATGAACCACCATGATGCATTTCCTATGCCTCCAGTTAGACACTGATTGCAGTGTGTGTGTGTGTGGGGGGGTTGTTGAATTATTTACCTGCTGCAATCAGGATTTTAATGCATCCGATGAATTTCAGTTTACATCTAGTAAGAAATGTATTTCTCCTTACGCAAAGGGGGGGGGGAAAGGACCATTGCTACAAATACATTGTGACCCCATTAGAGTAGACCTTTTTGGCACATACATAAGGGGTCTAACTCAGCAGAATGAGCAGAAGCGTCTCTGAACACAACAAAGCTATAGCGTATTCCCCTTGTGAGCACCAAATGAGTGTGTTCACTCCTGTAACGTCTTCCCTCTAAAGGGAAATGAAGTGGCAGGTGGAGTGAAGCTGAGTTCCCGCTTGAAACATCAGGTAGAAAAGGTCCCCCTACCATTTCAGCAGAGAACCTAATGTCACAAAGGACCATGATTACAACATGATGTTTCCAACACTTCTGGTGAAAGAATCCGACATCCTGCTTGATTTCACTTTTTCATCCCTGCAACTATATGAATATAATGTTCATGTGACTACAAGACATCCATAATGTATGTATGAACATGGCCTAAAACAGGCATGATTCTTGATACTTCCTGCACATCCGGCATGTCATCTGTGTTTATTGTCAATCTAAAGTGTACTTGAACTACAGAACAGTACAACATTATGTGGCCTGGTTGTGTTTCCGATTCCAGTGTTGCAGTGAACTCAAAACTGGCAGTAGCTGTGTCACTGAATACAAACTTGATCATAATATGCATTCTGATCATTATTAGTTAATGATTTCCATAGATACTCTTTCCCACAAACAGTCTGATGGGTCAAAAAAATCCAATGATGATAATGGCAGTGAAGTGAGGAGATGCTTGATGGATTGTTTGAGGTATACTGTACCTTTATGATCTTCCAGGTTTTGCTCATCATGTCTTGCTGAAGAGTGACTATCAGTGTGCAAGCATTAACACTACCATTGAAACAGGACAAAAGTCAGACAACTATTGTTCACAGGCCATTTATTTTCTTCTTCCACTCTGCCTTGCTCTCTTCTGCAGTCCCCACATAGAGAGGACACAACAAATTATAAGAAAGGGAAAATACACATTGCAGATTCATCTTTTCAGTCAGTTGAAATAGAACTTGAAAGATATTAGTCATTAAGAAAACATAACTTCACATCAAAGTAAAACAAGCACATCTAGAGGGGGGGAAATTATCCCAAATCCCTGGAGACTGATAACTGGCAGACAAAGAGGACCAAAGCAAAGAGAATGAGTGTTACTGTAGAACTAGATCAAAGGAAGGATGACAAAATAATATTGTTGATACAGCATTGTGAGAATGCAGAGAACACCCCAAAGAAGTCTGAAGTTTTCAACTACTTACCTGACCTCTCCCTGACCTTAATTTAAAACATCTGGCCTGCATTTTTCTGAATATGTCTGCTCAGGATTTGCTACGTAATTGCCATTTCTCTAGCAAACGTTGACCTTGTTTAGCGTTTATCTCTATTTCCAAAATCCTGCTGTTGTTTTTCTGTACAGTAAGAGAAAGAGCACACTTGCTCTTTTCTTGACTGTTTGCTGTGGACTGGTTCCAAGGGGAGACCGTCATAAGCAACTTGAAGCATGATGATGGGAAGGCTAGTCTCTGAAGCTGTGTGTTTGGAGCACAGAGAGTACTCTTCCTAGCACATCATAAGTCCAAGGATTTCCTTTGCTAGGAGCCAGCATTCAAAAGAACTAGCACGGATAAGAGTAAGCTCCTTGATACCAGAAGTGACATGGGTACCTTTTCTTGTTTCTTGGGGTGTGTGAGCACCACTGGAAGTTTTCTTCTCTCTTTTTCAACCCTTAAGGAGTAGTTGTGTGTAACTCAGCAATAGGGGCATTGCTCCATGCTTTGCTTCTGCAGATGACAGACAACCTTGGGCTGCATTGTGCAGCTGCTGCAGCCTTTATCACTGGCAGAGGCCATCAGCACAGGACAGGATAACTGTCCCTTCTTTAGGTCCCTCTAAATTTGGCACCTGGGACATACACCTTCCCTACCTACAGCCCCGAGGCTGAAAGTCTTAGGGTTGCTGATATCACTTCCTTCTTTCTCACATTTTCTTATTGTCCCTTTCCAGGAGAGACCAGAGGAGATACAAGATATGTATCTTGCCTTTGTTCTCAACAGGTGAGGGGACAAGCATGGGTCCCTCATCTCCACATTAGTTAACTAGATTTAGAATTCCTATTGCATTTCTATGTCAACATACTTTTCTAATAAATACTAGAATAAGAATGGGGACATGATTCTTTCTAAAACCAGACTAATCTGCCTGGGCTGAATCCACACATTAACTTAGCTACTGCTTGGTTCTGCTTGTTGGGTAAATGGTATTAAACAGGCCTTACTTGTGCTTAACTTCTGAAATCAAACAAAATCCATGAATTCAGGATAGAGTGTTGGCTCTAGGTATTTCTTATACTGATATCCAGATAAAACACAGAGCGACAAACCTTTCCTTATATTATGCTCCACCTGGATTATTGTGTGTAACACTGTATCTGTGAAATATTTCTATATCTGATATATATTTCTTTCTGTATATTCAGAAAGAATATGCAGAAAGACTTTCATCCCATAACACTGGGATGAAAGTGTTAGTGGTACAGCAGAATCAGTTAGCATAATCTAAGGAAGTAGAGTTTTTAAAAAGAAGCTTTAAAAGTACCACACACTGTGGTTTTAATCTTAACTTACAAACATGTATATTCTTTTATTTTTGCTGCATAATGCAAGATGTCAAGAGTTTTGTTGTGGAAGCATTGTTAAACCAGACCCTGGAAATTCCATGCATCAAAGATTTGCCTTCTGAAAACCTGAGAAATGCCTCGTTGACATGGCTGCTGGTAAGTAACATTTGATCACATACTGGTGAGAAAAAGAAATCCTGTTTCTTCTGTTACAAAGAGAAACATTTGGCCTGAACTGGGTGACTTAAGATGCAAAATGGAGCCATACAAAAGGGAATGGCTCTGTTTTCAGTTCCAGGATGCAAAGTGCTGTCAAACTTTAGAATAAAGAAAGTGCAGTAGTGATGTAGGCACTACCCCACATGCCAGATAAATGCAAGGGAAAGATGAGACTATTATCAAAAAGAACGAAGTGATTCATTGTTTATGGTTAGAGGAACATAACAAGCTAAAGCTTACATCCCAGAATGCAAGGGAAAGATAAGACTATTATCAAAAAAAAAAACAAAAAACAAACAAAGTGATTCATTGATTATGGTTATGGGAACATAACAAGCTAAAGCTTACATCCCAACATGGACCTGAGGTCATCAAACTAGTCTTCAATAAATGTGCAAAAACTACAACTTAGCATCTTGAAAAATATATGTTTTCGTTTTAAGGGTCATCAAACTAGTCTTCAATAAATATGCAAAAACTACAACATCTTGAAAAATATATGTTTTCGTTTTAACATAGGGTTTTGCGGACAGACACCTTCAGCGTAAGAGACATTTCATGTTAAGATCAATGGTTAAGGCGAATGTTGTTTTCCTGGTACAACAAGCAAAATTATATCACAAGCACTTTCTAGCAACCGTTAGATCAATACTGGCCAGTTCATGACAGCAACTCTTCCTCCCTCCTTCCTTTCGTATCTCATGGATTGTATACTCACAGAATTCTCTGTGTTCCCATTCACCTCTACCACAAGGATGATCCCACTGATTTTATGCTTCTCCTGTCCAACAATGTTCCTGTAATGCACTATTTTTTCCTCAATAATTAATGGGTGGCCAAGCTATATAAAGCCATCAAGTGGTAAAGTTACATTATATAATATATAAAGCCATCAAGTGGTAAAGTTACAGGTAGCATGACTATGTAATAAAAAAAAAAAGGTAAATCTGAAGCAGAGAGAGAGTTCTAATTCAATGCCATGCCTGTTGTATCTACATGAAGAAAGACCATCTGAAAAGGAGGCAATCTGCTACACCTTAGAGCAGTGACTCTCAGCTTTGGGTCACCAGATGTTCTTGGACTGCTACTCTCAGAAATCTTGGCAAGCATACCTAGGGGCGAAGGCTTCTGAGAGCTGTAGTCCAAGAACATCTGGGGAACAAAGGTTGGGAACTATTGCCTTAGACCCTCTCCCACAATCCAGTCATACGGCGAGACTCTGCATGCAGCAGAATTTTCCTCTTCAGACTGTTTCCTCTCACTGTGAAAACAGTAACGGGTGGTGGTAGGCTAGCCTCTCCTTGCTCACCCTTTCATATTAATCCTTTTTGAGCACCTGAATAGGGCTTATGTGACATTCTTGAATTGGAAGAGAAAGACCTCTGATCAAGGTTAGGTAATAAAATCCAGCTTCTCTCAGTGTTTCCACCTTCAGCACTGTGTCAGTGCTCGGTACTTTAATCAGTACAGCAAAGCAATTGTCTTCCCTTTGAGCTCTCTGCTGCTGCTACTGCCACTTTTTCAAATTGATTCCTTCTATATAAAAACTGACTTTGGAAAGGGAAGAAGGGGTTAATTTCTTTAAAGTTTTCATTAATCCTGGGTATTTTTGACCATTCTCTTCTTCCCATGACTTCCCCTAAGAAGCAAGAAACACTCAATCTGCCATCCAGTCTGGCTACAGTAATAGGAAATAAAGTATTGGGAAAGAATTGTGGTTACATAGCAAACATGCAACAGTATAGTGTTCATTTATAATTTATGAATGCCTTATGATTTCCTATAAATATTTAAATCCATATTTTAATAATTCTCCTCCAGGAGCTCTAGGTGAAAAGGAACATTTCTAAATGTGTAGAAGCACAGCTGGGAAGGTTGCTTTTAAAAAGTAGTTAAGTTGCTGTTGCAGTTACAGTTCTAAGGCCTGCAAACAAAAGTTACTATTTTAGTTAAATTTTAAACCATTTCTCAAAAGTAATTAAATGTTACATTTCAGTTACTTTTTAAAATGCTCCGAGTTCTACAGACCACTGAACAGTGGCACACATCGCTTTTCTCTTTATTGCCTCAACATGCAGAACAGAATATGGGCTGCACTGCTGCCCATTTAGCAAGGCCACATCTGTACAGTAATGGCAAAAGCAACTAAAATATCACAGTTGCATGATAACAGAACTGAATAATAATGTAGCTTATTTATATTTTGTAGATTGGAGAAAGAATTAACAGCAAGTATCTTGCAACTTACCCTTGCAGATGATTTTATCTGTCCATGGGTGCTATTTGAGAAAGCCACTTCTGCTTAGAGCACCTACATAACTGATCAAGTGATTGTTTTATTCTGTGCTTCTTTGAATATTTGTTTACAATCAGGCTTCAGTCCTAAGTCATTTATGTGGAGAATATCCCATTAAGCACAATGAAACTTGCTTTTGAGTTGATACATACTAAGTTAACATTTCTGTCCCGTCACCCCACACAGAATTCCCAGGAGGAATCAGGAATATGGTGAACAGTTAACCATTTTGGCAAAGGTGTGCATATGCATGCTCACAAACACGTGCACACATCTGCTGTTGCTGCTGGAAAAAAGTTGGTGGTGGCATGGGTTTTCTTCAGGATCATAGCACAGGAAGAAAAGTTGATTTGCATGTTTTAATGTTCCAGTCTTGATCAAATTGCCCATCCATATCACCTATTTAAATAAGAAAAAAAGACAATGTAATCATTTAACATAGTCTGTGTTGCTGTTGTTGTTTTGCCCTAAGGCTGCCTAAGCTAAAGACCATATAGGTAAACATGGATAGTATGACAAAACCTGAAAGAGACAACAATCACAAACCTCTTGCCTTTTTTCTTCCGTCTATCTTTCTATCATATGTACACAATTACATGCCAAGCAGCATCACTCCAGCCAGAAATCAAACCAAAGAATCATCTCACAGTTCCATTCATGAACATTCTTCTACACCTCTCAACTCTTTTAACTGTCTCTTCTGACACATATCCCACATACAGCTGTCAATCAAACTAAAATCATTTACCATGCAGGCAGATACAAACCTATACACAAACTATATTTACAGTGTAAAATTGCCGCAGGCAGCTATGGTTCATGCAAACATGCTGTATAAGTGCTGTTATGCCATTGTTACACGTTATATAAATGCTGTCTCAGAACTGTAAGCTTCATCAACCTGGAGCAGTCCAATTGTTTTAAACTATCATTGTCATCAGTCTTGCCAGCTAATGTGGTTAATAGAAATGTCCAGAACATCTGGAATGCAGCCAGTTGGGGAAGACTGCTTCATAATATGGTGTTGGTTCAAAGGGAAATAAAGGAAGGAAATTTATGATGCTGTGAGATTGGAACTGGTTACTAACAGAACTCTCATTTTAACCAGAAAGAAAATGAAAATGAAGAGATACTTATAAGCAAGCCATCATATAATTCTCGTGAATACATAACCAGAACTACAATGTACAAGGACAGAATTGAAAGTAATTCAGAGAATACATTAATTATTTCGCCTGTATCAGTTTTTGATGATGGCAAGAAGTTTGTCTGTTCTGTTTCCCACCACCCTGGAAGAATCATGAAGACCACCACTGAAGTGAAAGTATTTGGTGAGAAGGAGCAATCCTATGCTACTTATAACAGCATGTATATATACATTATATACATTTTAGAATGTATATAAAAGCAGCATATATATATGCTGCTTTTATATACATTCTGAAACATAAAGTGAGCATTGTTAGGCTTTTGTTTTGGGTTTATTTGTTTTTTGAGAACATTATTTTACAATACAGCTTGCATGTATTAAGTTGCTAAGAAGAACATATACAAATAAGGCATGAAATGTATGTATATATGTGTGTGTTTGTGTGTGTATTTACAAACACACATACAACTATATATTACTTTCCATCTATAGGCCAAGGCAGACAGGCTTACAACCACAGGATCAAAACACTGAAAATGCTCTTGAAACTAACCCTTTACAGCATACATGCATCTATGGTGGAGAGCTTCTGCTCTTTCCTCTGCCTCCTGCTCTTTCCTTCCCCTCCTTCTCTTCTAGATCAAAGAACCCCATGTTTTGTCAAAGTTTCCTGCCACAAATTGGTGGTCAACTAGGAGATGCTTTCTTTAAACGGGGCTCTGATAGCATCGCCTCTCACCACATTTTAGCAACTATTGACAGTGAGTGGAAGGCGCAACACATTTTAGATATTTGCTGCTCAGTTTTGTGTGCTGCATTTTCTGCTGATTTTATCTCAGTTTTATCATTTACATTTTAAATTCCTCTGAGAGCTCTCAGAGAAGTCTAGATATTGTCCAATTTGAATTCTAATAATGAATTACATTAAGCAATGGAGTGCTTACATGAAACAACAAAGTACACTGCTGGCTGTATCTCTGGTGTTTCTGGAGCATCCCACACCCACTTCTCCTTTCTTGCTTTGAACATGGACATCTGTACAGGGGAAGCTTTTGTGGTTAAGCATGCATCTAAAATCCTGAATACAGTAACTTGGATCTCTGAATGTCTAATGGCCTGTGAAGAGCAAGGGATTCCCCTTTGGAGATGCCTATTACCAACCATGTACATGTCAGGTGAATCCCCTGGGCCTATCAGGTCATTCACCCCTCCCACTGTCCAATCTGCAGTATGTATATAGATCTCTTCATATAGATCAATCAGAAGGGGGACTTCCTGACTCTTGCATATTTTCACAGTTTTTCAGTTCTCATAAATGATCTTATAATGATCAGTACAAAAGAGAGAGAAAAAAATAATTCCTAACCACAAACCAAATGGAGAAAGATACATTGGCACTGCAAAGCCTTAAAAAAACTTAAATTAAACCAGAGAGGATTGTGTAAAATGACTAACAAACAAACTGGAATATTTGTTGTTGTTGTTGTTTTAAAAAACTTTCCATTTGAGAGTTGGGGTTTTAAACATTTCCATTTGAGATCTGTGGTTAACTAGCAGTCTTACACATCATATGGAGGTGTGCACATTATTAATATAAATGCAAAATATCAGACATGGCAAGTTAACTTTGTGGTCTTTTTAGTTGCTTAGTACAGTGGTTCTTAACCTTTGTTACTCTGATGCTTTTGAACTGCAACTCCCAGAAACCCCAGTCAGGAGAGCTGGTGGTGAAGGCTTCTGGGAGTTGCAGTCCAAAACTCCTGAGTAACCCAAGGTTAAGAATCAGTGGCTTAGTATATAAAATAATGATTTGGCTCCTTTAAAGTTCAGACTTGTATTCAATCAACTTTGGGCCAAATGTGCTTTTGGTACATCTTGGTCAAAACAGACTTGTTACATCATTTTAAAAAATTAGGAAGCACATATGATTTTGCGTTCACTGGATTTTAAACTGGCTGCATTCTCTGCTGATCCTGGGAATATATGATAATATAGAAGACATGTGTTTGCCCTTCCAGTGTCTAAAGAAGTGGACTTTGATTAGTAAAAACTCACACTGAGATAAATCATAGTCTTTAAAGTGTCACAATATTTTCAGCCTCCCTTTCTTCTATTAACTTTTTCTCCCTGGAAATGCACATAGGTGTAAATTATCCATTTAATAGCGTATAATAGATTTGAACTGAAATGCAAGGATGTCACCCTGCCTCAGAAAACGACCATCTAATTTTGGCAAAATGTAAATATCCGGCCTCATGTCTTCCCATGTTGTGTCTGAAGGAGCTCAGTTCCTATTGTAGGAAGGGAAATGTTCAGATAATGTTTAATAAGAACTTCCTATTCTGCAGAAAAAAAATCTGCTGAATCAATTCCATCAAAGCATATTTGTCAAAGGTTGTATACCTTAATGCAGCAAACAGAAATACATTTAGAACTACAGCCGTAAATAAACCAATTTACTATGTCTAACAATACATATAAGACAAACAAAATTGTTCACATTCAAAAACACTTTTACTGTATATCATTCAGTATGAATTCTTGATAATTTCTAGGCATACCAATCTTTGGTGTGGTGTTTCTGGAGCACACCTAGCCTTTTTTGAATTCCATATTCAGAATTCACGGGCTACTGAAAATCATTATTTCCAAGCATTTCCTGTGGCAAACCCATGTCAAAAGCCAAGGACCATCTTCATGTAGCTGCTTTGTTATGGGCTAATGGTGATGGAAGCCAGCAGCGGGGGTCTCACCTGCTTGCCATTTTGGGAAATGCATGTTTTATTGTAGCTAACTAAATCCACAACAGTAGCTTTTTGAAGGGGAATAGTGCTTATAACACTATTTAAAAGTGTGGAATGTGCCCATTGGTCTCAGTATGTTGTGGGGACCAGCTTATGATAATAGCGCAAGCATGCATGATACCCAGAAGCACCTATGATATTGGCAAAGGATCAGGTTGATTCATGAAGTTGTAACCACTGGTTTGGTTTCTAAGCTTAACCATACTAAAAGTAGACTCATTGAAGCTGGTGAGACTTAGGTTATTCATAACTAACTTGATTTCAGTGGGTCTACTTTAAATATGGTATATGCTTGGATCTAAGCAACTGAGATCATGGTACGTATGTAAGTCTTCATTATATTTCTTTTCCTTTCTCAAAGTTACAAGATTAATTCTTTAGCACAGATGAGCTTTCCCATTTCAGCTTTGCATGAGTGGCTACTCTGAAATTGTCTCCTTAAAACAGAACATCCACAACAGTGGCTCATGCAGAAACACAGAAGAGAGCAGGTAATGCAAAATAACCTGGAAGTCTACCTTTTTAAAATACAATTCTTGGTGGATCAGGAATAAGCCGTAGCTTTTTGAGCTACTGGAATGACATATTGGCTATTTAAACATCAAAGTAAAACACATGTAAATTGAGGGATAAAAGGGTTTCTGTGTCCATTTTATAAGGGACATTGTGGCGCTGTGGATTAAACTGCAGAAGCCTCTGTGCTGCAAGGTCAAAAGTCATAAGACTGAATCCACATGACGCAGAGAGCTCCCATCGCTTGTCTCAGCTCCTGCCAACCTAGCAGTTCAAAAGCATGTAAAAATGCGAGTAGATAAATAGGTACCACCTCAGTGGGAAGTTAGCGGCATTCCGTGTCTAGTCGTGCTGGCCACGTGACCATGGAAAATGTCTTCGGACAAATGCTGGCTCTATGGCTTGGAAACAGGGATGAGCATCGCCCCCTAAAGTCAGACATGGCTGGACTAAATGTCAAGGGGAACCTTTAACTTTACCAAGTGACCATTTTAAACACACCTTCCTGGGATAATTAAACAGTTCTTTGTGAATGACAAATGCAGTTTACATGCCAAGCAGTAAAGAGATGCTCATGGCAACTTGAAACAGCCCTTTTGTGGTCACACCTTAATTTGCAAGCCAGTTCACAAAATTCAGAAGGCAGTTATGATTTCTGAGGAACAGACTCGAGAGAGAGAGGAAGGTACTTCATATAGATGCTCAGCAGTTTTCCTTTCTTGTTTATCTAACATAGAAATGCCTTTTTTGATTGTATGTATCAACAAAGAATCCCTGCCTACCACTGTTCTGGGCAGACTGACAGAGTGATGGCATTGAAATCTGTCATGTCCTAATTGTGTAAATAGACTTTCTGTTACAGGAAGGGGTTTACTGGAAAAGGTCAGACCAATGATGGAAATTAAAGTGCAGCCTGCCTTTCAAAGCCCCAGAATATAGTTCTCCCTCCCTCCCTCCCTCTCTCCCTCCTTCTCTCTCTCTCTCTCTCTCTCTGCCTCTCGGTCGGCTTTCCTTTACACCACTATAATCCTGTATGCATCTGATATATCCCAAAACCTGTGGTGGATCTGATGGCTCCATGTGTTTTAGAGTTTTTCCTCATTCTCTTATGCAACAAGGGCTTTGAGTTGTGATATCTGGATTGCTTTTACAGTTTCAGTTTCCTCCACATATGCACAGAAATTGTATGTGTTTCATTAGCATCTTGGTCTGAGACAGAGTGTTCTGAAGACAGGACCAACTGCATGTCCAGTCCTGACATGCAAACATAAAAATCACTGTAAAAAGAAAATTAGCCTCCAGATATTTTTATTTTACTTTATTTTGGTACATATGTAAGCAAGTAGAACTTGGTTCCATAAGGTGACAGTAAATTGTGCACACTATAAAACCACAGTTGAGCTCAAAAAAGTTACTTTTCAGCTGGCCATATTTCCTGGAATCTGTTAGCCAGCATGTCCTGTCTACCAGGCAGCATGGCCAGCATTTCCCGATTCTGAACCAAAAACACAATATAGTATTATGAATGTATGTTTGGTATTTGCCCGTAGAGTACTTAAGAAACAGGGCATGCTGCTGGAATAAATCAATAGTACTGGTTTTAAGATGTTAACATGCCACAGGGTTATTTTTCCTTCTGTTTTATAAAATAGAGCATTTCTGCAGAAATTTACACTGCTGAAGTAATTCCTGAAGTCTAAATAATTAAAATGTGTGTTTTCTTTGTGTGCTGAAGTGAAACCAGAAATCTCTATCTCACTCAATGCAAGTTTCACAGGAAAGGTGAGTGAATTTACATCAATGGGGGGAGGTAAACTGGGATTTACTAATAGATCCTCAGGAGGCTTCCAGTTGATCAGCCAAGGGTTCAAACTCCCAATTTTCTAACAAGAGCAATAAGTTTATAAGACCACTGTAATGTACATGGGTAGAAACCAGGATTGAGTTTGTGAACAAAAGAACTTCCAACTCTTTTTCTGTGTTTAACAGCAAAATGCTTGTGCTCATATCCTATTCATGGATCAGTAAGTTGTCTGATGGGTGGATCTATGGAGGATTGCTGGATCTCTGGCAAAAACAAAAGAACAACATACAAACACCCACCCCCAACAAAAAGTCCTATAAGCCTGAAATCTCTCAGGGACTTGGTATCAATACAACTCTGTTCAGTTATTAGTGTTTGATCAGGCAACTGAATTGGGCATACTATTGCGGTCTTTAGCAGATATGCTGCTCCTGAGGATTTGGAATACGTACTTAAATTTCTCAGTGTTTTTAGCACTTTTTTTCTTCATACCTTCAGTATAAAAGAGAAAAACAACAACACAGCATAATTGCATCAACTTTTACCTACCAAAGTTTGAAGAAGTTACTTTTTTTGGAGTACCACCATTTGGAGAATGGCAATACTAGCTGTAAGATCCTTAGAGTTGTGTACAAAAATGTAAATTTATCAAACTCTGATCCCAGCACTTGCCTTACATAGATAACTCTTCTCAAAGTTTGTTTCTAGCATTTTATGACCAAAAATGCCATTTCCCCTGTAAGCTCATATGCCCTTTTATTCTTAATGAGAGCCACTCAAAAGCTATCCAACTTGGACCTGATTGCCTTTGGAATGCCATAAAAGTCCAGAGGAACTCAAAACAAGTCCTTAAAGAAGCAGCTTACTAATAGGTGTGACAAACCCAGACCTACTGAAAAAAAGTCCTGAAAGAAGCAGCTTACTAATAGGTTCTAATCTGACATAGCAGAACTAGGGTTTACACAATAGCTTTATTGTATAATTTGATCTTTCTCAACTTATTTGGCCAAATTCTGATCATAGCATATGGTAGAAGCATGCTTCTAAGTCAGGGAGGGCTACTTGTGATGTTGTCCAACTTCCCGATGTTGTTGGGCTCCAACTCCCTGTCACCCCTTGCCAGGATAATCTGTAATAAGGGAGGACGGTGCATTCCAGCATCATCTGCTGGTACACAAGGTGTGGTCCTCCACCTCCACCCCCACCCCCATCTTAAATTAACTGTGTTCAAGAACAGGGGCCCGTATTTTAAACACCTATTTTGGTAGTTCAAGGAGAAATCTAGGTAATGGTATTCACAACTGTCTGTCTTTCCCTCCCCCACATGCTCACCTAGTTTTCATCCTACAAAGAAAAGTGAAATAAATGGTTTAGGGAGGAGGGGTGTTAAAAGCCTATTGTTCAGAATGGCATCGACAGAAATTACAAGTCCATATTTTTATTTTGTATCTAAGACCACATTAAATTTAAACCCCTCCATTGCAAAAGTATTGCATTGGCATAAACATGTTGATTAAGGTGCCAGCCTCTTTAATAGGTCATTGTCGTCCACACAATTTAGCACTGGTTTCTATAGAGGAGGGGTGTTAAAAGCCTATTGTTCAGAATGGCATCGACAGAAATTACAAGTCCATATTTTTATTTTGTATCTAAGACCACATTAAATTTAAACCCCTCCATTGCAAAAGTATTGCATTGGCATAAACATGTTGATTAAGGTGCCAGCCTCTTTAATAGGTCATTGTCGTCCACACAATTTAGCACTGGTTTCTATATGCATCAAGCAAGGTGCCAACCTCTTTAATAGGTCATTGTTGTCCACACAATTTAGCACTGGTTTCTATATGCATCAAGCATACAGTTCTTGTGACTGCCTGTGTTCTCATCTTAAGCACTGTCAGTGGAAGACCAAACCACATCCTCCGCGCTTTTTGACAAACCACATGTCAGACAGAGCCACAGCAATGATCATTATTTCCCTTGCTCTATGAGCTATTTTATTGCTAATAATTTAGTGGTTTCATGACATCTGTGATGCATTCAGGATGATTAGAGCACAGAGGATCAAAATCTGAATCTTTTGACAACTGGTACTTATCTACCTGAAGGCTTCCATATATAGTCTGTTTCTTAGGCACATATGCATATATTTGTTTATTTTGTGCAATTGTCTCCTATTCCATGAGACATCACTTTCCCTTTAAAGTGCTGTGTGTGTGTGTGTGTGTGTGGTCGTTTAGTCATGTCTGACTCTTCGTGACCCCATGGGCCAGAGCACGCCAGGCCCTCCTGTCTTCTACTGCCTCCCGGAGTTGTGTCAGGTTCATGTTGGTTGCTTTAGAAAAGATAGCCGTGTTAGTCTCTGCTAGCATATCAGTCAAAACCAGAAGAATAAAAATAAAGAGGACAAAAACAAATCTTAAAGACTGACTGCTATATTTTAATTTGAGCTTTCATGGACTTGTCCACAAAAGCTCACATTTAAATATAGCCATTAGTCTTTAAGGTGCCACAACATTTTTGTCATGGCAAACTAATTATTGCTGGAGATAGAAGGATTAAGAAGCAGTTCTTAGACAGGCACTGAGAGAGAAAAGGTACTGCAGCTTGGTAAGGGGGGGGCGGCTAAGATGAGTGAGCTGAATAAGGATGCTGAGGATTCAACAAAGGAAGAAATGGATGAGAGAGAGCAGAGACACCACTGGGGTGAGGAAGGGGATGAAAGAATTCTTAAGTCCTACAAAGCTGGTAGTTCTACTAATCATTACTGAAAAAGCATTTGGAATAGGAAGACTGCTCTGCTATAAATCAGCACATGCTGATACAGAATGTGATAATGTGACCTGTGGATACATTAAACATACATTGGTGGGGCAAACTAAAGTTCCCTGCTCCCCTTTCTTACTGTTTTCTGCACTAGTCCAAACAGCAGATACCCAATGTGGTGTAGTGGATAGCGTGACGAACTAGAACTCTGGAGACCAGGGTTCGAATCCCTACTTGGTCATGGAAACTCACCGGGGGAATGGAACTAGTAAAATCACTCCTTAAATACCTTGAAAACCCTTTTAGGGTCATCATAACTTGATGATACATAACTAACTAACTAACTAGTTCAAACAGAGAACTGATAGCCTCCTGAACAGAGGGCTGTACTGTATAAACTAACACGGTCACCCTAATTTGAATAATTGTTACAGAATTACTATCTTTCAGTGTGAGTATACTTGGGATTGCAGCCTTAGGCTTGGAGATCCAGGCTGAAACCTCTCTTAACTTTCACTGTTGAATTATTTTCCTTTTCCTTTTGTTAAAAAGGCTACTTTTACCTGTGTAATAAAGAAGGCATTTCCCAAGCCAGAGCTCCTATGGTACCTGGATGGAGAGATTCTGAAGGGCAGGTCTGAAGGTAATGCAAAGTTTGGTGAAAATGACATTGGAAATGTACACTTATAAAATATTTGACTTCAACAAGAAAGCGTACAACAGCTATAAGTGAGAGAAGGGATGCATTTGCGAATAAGCACTTTTTAGTAGGAAAATGGTTTGGAAAATAATAAAACTGCAGTGCATGTATTAGAGCAGATAAGTAACTGGTGGCCTTCCAGATGTTGTTGGATCCCAACACCAATAAATCCCCATGAATAAATTCAATGGTGAAGGACGATGGGAGTTGCACTCCAAGATCCAAAGTACCACAGGCTTCTTCATATCTTTTTCAGAGTATAAGCACATTTAAATCAATTGGCATTTCTTCTCTGTCTGCTATTGATTTGTTTGTTTCATTTGATTTATATAATGCCCCATTAGTGCAAGCACTACTCTGGCTGGTTCCCATTGCCTTATCTCTGCAGGCAAGGTTTTAATGCTGTTACTGTACAGGTCCTTCCTTACCATTAAGGCGCTCTATAAATAATAAATATGACTATGTATTTTTTTAAATTATTGAACTAGAGCACCTAATGTTTAATATAGATCTTATTTTTCAGATAAATGTTTAGCAGTTATTCTTATGGCATATCCTTTCTATATTTCCTCCCGCAAAGGAATAGTAATTCAGAATGAAGATACAAAAGTTGCAGGAGGTTTTTATGAGATGAGATCATTGTTGATAATATGGAAAACAATACAGACATCCCATAGTCTGGCTGTTAAATGCATGTCTGTCTATCCTTTCCTTGGAAACGAAACACGAAATATTTCATCTGGAGACATTTTGCTTCCTCGTGGTAAGTTAAATTAAATATAAGCTGTCTGAAATCCAAAGAACACATTATATACATGTGCTCAGATTATTTGTATGAAATCTGCAGAAACTAAAGTAAACTGCTTTGCTCCCCAAACAATCGCACACATGTTTTCCAGCTATGTCTTCTGTTGTATTAAGGAAACAGTAGAACGTGCTGGCATAAGTGCAATACTAAGGACACATTCAGCATGACATCTTCTTCCAAGTACCATATATGAACATCTGCAACCAGCCGTACCATTTGGCAAGCTCCTATCAGATGTAGACTGTGGCAGTTTAAACATGCATCTTATAGGATTTCACAGCCAGAGAGGGAGGTGATTCTCTTAGAATCATGATGTGAGAATTCCCCTCTAGTTTGGTCCACAAGCTCCCTTTGATCTGATTTATATCACACGTAGACAACAAGAAGAGACTCAGCTTCATATCAGACACTAAACTAGCTTTCAAGGATAGCTCCTGCACCAGAAACACCGCTTTTAACCGAATAGACAGAAGAAGTGTTCATTGGCTCTTTTCTAACTCCTTTTAGCCACTTTGTGATGGTGCTGGTCTTCCTTGGCCAAAGAAGTTGAGCACACCTTACTGGCCTCAACAGCCACTTCAGTAGCTATGCTTCAGATATTTTTTTCTGTGATGAAAAAATCACCACCTAACGTTCCCATGTCAACTACCTTTTTTTTTTTTTTTTGCATCTTATGGAATCATGGAATTTTTTGTATTCTGGGTGACTTTCTTAGAGTTCTCTGTTAGAGATCTCCGGTGTTGCAGTTTTTCTGCTCCTGCCCTTATCCATTCTTTGTGAATCTCTACTCCCTGAGTGTCTCATAAATACAAGTGTGTTACAGAGTAAGCAAATTAATAAGAATGGATAGGATGCCTCACAATGTGTCCATGTTACCTTGAACCACAGGACTCTTCTGCATAATGTCCAATGTATTCTGATCATAAACATTTGCATCAGAATATGAGTTTGTGATAGCACTGCAACACTGGTGAAAAGTCTAGCTTTGAAACATTGTTTTGGTTGCCAATACTTAAGAATCAAATAGAGCTGTCAGTTACTGTGATGTTCTCCTTAAACCATTACTGGCTATTTTTCCTGCTGTAGCAAGAACTATTTTCACTGCTTTTTCAAGCAATCACACAACATAATCACTCAAATCATCCCCAGAATGTTTGTACCCAGACCTTTCATAGCCCCTGTCGGGGCTTCTACTTTTTTCATATGAGTAGAATTGCTCTGGTTTGGTCCATTTCCAGCTGGAAACAAACCAAAAGGAAGTGTTGTTGTTGTTGTTGTTGTTGTTGTTATCTATTTGATTTATACCCTGCCCATCTGGCCTATAAGACCACTCTAGGTGACTTCCAATATAATAAACAAAAAATAATACAAAATATTACATAAAACATACTATAACAAATACAATACAAAGATAGAATAGAAAATAAATAAAGGAAAAATAAAGAGAAGGGAAGGCCTGAATGTACAGCCATGTTTTTAATTGACTTTTAAAGGTGCCCAGAGTGGGGGCCGCGCAAATCTCAGGAGGGAGATTGTTCCAGAGGTGAGGAGCTGCCCCCGAGAAGGCCCGGTTTCGTGTCTTTTCCTTCCGGGTCTCTCGCGGCGTCAGGCTCCTCAGCCTCACCTCCTGACTCGCGCGGGTGATCCGGGTAGAACTTGGTGGGAGTAGGCGTTCCGCCAAATATCAAGATCCTAAACCGTTTAGGGCCTTATAAGTGAGCATTAAAACTTTAAAGTCGACAGTTTTATGACAGTCTTGTGACTGTTAAGGTTCCTTCTGGTTGTGAAGTAGCTTAATAAACAAGGCACTTCAGGATATTGCCAAATTGAACACTTCCTCTGATCCGCTGTGGTTTTTAAGACTCTGGTATATCACTACTGATGTGCTGCATCACTTATATTTTTTTTAAAAAAAAATTATTTGCCTTACCTGATGGGCCAGTTGAGAAACTGTCCATGGTAAAATCTGAGGATTAATTTCATAGAATGAGTTCAATCTTCAGTGCTTTTTTCTAAAGCTGGGAAAGAAATCAGTAAAATAGCAACACTGAGACGAAAATGTGATGTGGTAGAAATTTCCATCAACTGTAATAGCCATATGGTACTTCATTTAAATAAAGACCAAAAAAGCTGTTACTCCACACCGCAGTCAATACATTTCATTCCTGTCAAGAAAAATAGAAGAGGCAAATCCACTGAAGTGCAATAATAATTTAATAGTATTATCCCATTACATTATGAATATTTTTATCAGGAGAAACTGCAGGCTGTATGCATGCATGCATGCATGTGGTATGTGTTATGAATATTTTTATCAGAAGAAACTGCAGGCTGTATGTATGCATGCATGCATGCATGTGGTATGTGTATAGCACATGGATCCCTCCAGGACATATAAGAAATAGATAGATATATGAATATTTCATACATACCATTATAAGAAATGCTGTTATAAGATCATGTCTTGTGGGTTTGGATATTTGTATCCAGAGCCAGATCAACATATCAGTTTTCTTCTACAAGGTTTTTAAGGCATTGCTGGAAAATTTCACCACTACATTTCAGGTGATGATTATTTTCTACAGGGTGGCAGCCTACAGCTCTGGACTCCTTGAAAACTAATAGCCATATTCCTCCAAGTCTGGATTCACGGACAGAAAGTAAGTTGCATTTACTGTATTTGAATGAAACATTTTGTGCATTTTGTTCACAATAATCAACAACCAAGCTTTAATTACTATTCAAGCTCTGATCTTGCCATTACGTCATTTAGTTTCTTTCAAACATTGGTCCTGCTATAATGGTGTAAAGGGAACTAGACCCCTAAAGCAATGCCACAACAGTTAAAGTGTGATCCAGCAGCTGCAGTGTACAGCAATAGCCTAAGCTGAAATGCTTTTCAGTGGTTTGATCAATCTCTACTTCGAACCTCCAGTCGAAGAAGAGATACAAAGCATGGGCTTTTCTTGGAGTACCTATACAAGAACACTCCATATCAGAAATAATTCTTACAAATGAATATATTCAGCTTCACCCAAGCTAGCACCTCCACCTTGGTGCTCTCTCTCCCTCTCCCTCCCTCCTGCCCCCCCCCTCTCTCACACACACATTCACTCTTCTCTCACTCACTTGTCTTGTAGCTCCTATACCTTGATTGGAAACTCTATTATTTCACTCTCCTCCTCTTTTATTCCTCAAATCTGTTCCTCACTATTGTGCAGTAAATCTATTTCTTAGGGAAATCACACAGTAGATCATATGCCTGTGTGCTTTACAGACCAAATTTCTTATATAGATAAGAAAGAGAAGATTGGATTTTCTTAGTTTTTTTTAATATTTCTTTGCAAATAATGTGGGGTGCACTAGGTCTTGAAGTTCTTTGCACACCTCCTCATGACTCCCTTTCCTTTACTGCCATTTCATTTCACAGTCTGTTTCTAAGAGCTGGAGAAGAGGTGGATGTTCAGCAGGTATTGCTTTCCCCAAAATGAGAATACCAACAAGTATAGCTTTGTCAGGAATGATATCTTGCTTGGACTTGGAAAATTAACTGCACCTATGCTGAGGCTTAGAGTCTGGTCACGTGAGGGAAATGTTCTCCAGTTCTCACAATACATTCCATACCTCTATTGTACTGAATTGTAATTCTGTGGGCGAACATCCCAATTTGGGGAGTCTTTTTCGTCCCCTTCTCATTTCTTCAGGAAGTTGGGGAGACTTTTGGAGTGCACATCTCAGCTGCCATTTGGTTCACCAAAGTTTCTGGCAAAGAGGCTCTTGGGGCGGCACAGCCAGAGGTGATGCCAACAGTGGCAGTGAGCAAAGGGGAGAGGGAACCTCACCTCAGAAACCCAATTCAAGCTCTCCGCAGCTGGGGTACCCTATCAGGGGAGGGGGGGAGAAGAACAAACAAACAGTCCTCTTGGAAAAGTGGTGGTCAGGTTGCAAATGGATGGTGGGCTGCCTTACTGGCGCAGTGGTTAAGCCACTGTACTGCTGCCAAAACTGTGCCCACAACCCAGGGTTCAATCCCAGGTAGCCGGCTCAGGGTTGACTCAGCCTTCTATCCTTCCGAGGTCGGTAAAATGAGTACCTAGGTCACTGGGGGGGCAATGTGTAGCTTGCATAAATAACTTGTAAACCGCCCAGAGAGTGCTTGAAGCGCTATGGGGCGGTATATAAGCAGCACGCTTTGCATTTTTTGCTTTGCTTACTGCAGCACCAACATTCCCTTCAGCCCCTCCCTACCCCAAAAGCTTCTCCCATTTCTCATGACATGGAGGCGGTCTTCTAGGCAGTATTATAATCACCTTGCAGTTTAAATCTTGCAGTTGTACAGAGCACAAGACTGAAAAAGTACATATTTGAATCATTACGGCTGGCTACATGCTATACAGGTAAGGAATGAATCACTGCAACATACATACAAAATAAAACAATCCTCCTGACAAGGGGGAAATGTTTCTCCATTACACCACTGGCAGGGGAAATGACTGGCAAGTGCATCATGTGACTGGAGACTTATGATACAATGCAGCTAGGATATAACTGGGGAACATTTCCCTCATGTGATCAGGCCCTAAAGGATAGCATTTCCAAAAGAGGTCAAAATGGAAATCATCAGATCAACTGCTCTATCAAGCAAAACACCAAGTGATTTTTGAAAATATTTTTACTCCAGTTTTCAGAAAATATAACCATGCTGTCTCAAGTATTCTGGAAACTGCAGTCTGGAAAAATACCTTTTCGTAGTTCACAGTACTAATACTCCAAGACAGGAATTGGCTAGTTTTCAAAAATGTACCTGAGGAACAGTGATTTCTGAATACGTGGAGGACGCTTTGAGCTTTGCCCATTTGACATGAAATGGCTTACTTTTTTTAAAAAAAAAGTTAATTAGTGGCGCAATGAGATTTTTAGAGAATGACTACTATTCTATGAATTAAAAATAAGGCTTTAAAAATTAATATCTTGTATTTATTGTATCTTAATTATGTGTGCCTATCTTTGGGGTGATAAGTTCCCCATTGCTATTTTATTCAAAAAAACAAATAAATGCTTTCATTATTTAATAATGCAGTAATAATGCCATTCTCCAGCAATCTTTCTCCATAAACGAGGGAAGGGAATATGAAATAGCATGGAAATGGAATCCGTGAATGTGCTTTTTCAGTGTCGCTGCTTGTCCTCACACATACTTTTTTCCCTCATCTTCCTTTCTTGAGGGGTCTTAAATGAAGAGAAAGGATCGTCCTTGTGTGTTAACATCTTTCCTTCCTTCCTTCCTTCCTTCCTTGCTTCCCTCCTCCCTTACTTCCTTCCTCTTCCTTCCTTCCTTCCTTCCTTCCTTCCTTCCTTCCTTCCTTCCTTCCGTCCCAAAGCACATGCTTTAGTCCACAAGATAAACAAAATTAGGCCCATGGGGGTGGGGAGATGAATAAATTTGCAACAGTCTGAGTTCATGACAAGAAAATGCTGCAGCCAAAAGGGAATGTAATTTGAGATGATACTTGAAATATTCCCCCAGATCTACCTCTCCTGGGAGTAATTGCACACATGCGGAATTACATTAGGAACTCCAGTAGTCCAGATGGAATATGGTCAGCTGTTTGCCAAACATTTGTCTTGAGATGTCTCAAGTTTCCTTCCTGGACAGACGCAGCATACCAGAAGGATGGAATTTAATATAGTGGGCAAAGGAGACACAATCTGCTCTTTTTCCTTTTCCTTTTTTAGCTCAGGTTCAGCTATGCCTAGCTTATTTCCTTGTGCTATATTTATCTTAGTATGTGATTGCCAAGTTAACTTTAAGGACATTTCTATCAGAAAGTGATAGCTGTGATCAGGGAGACCTTAAAAAAGCTGTTTACTTGTTTTTAAAACAAAACAAAACAACACTTGAACCTGAAAATAAACCTAATCTATTTTGAGCAAAAGCTTTTTACCTAGTTGATTTATATTGCCTTTTTGATCCAGATTTTTCTTTTGTATACAAAATTGTTCTACGTATACAAGAAAACACACGTGCTGTTGACTATGCTGAGTAAGGATGATGGGAGCTATAGTAACACCTAGAGAGCTACCTACCTACCCCACCCCAGGTATGAGGCTTTCAGCATGCCCAGATGCTCTCTGTTCACAGTAAATCACCCAAGGAAGTCTGGATTACAGTCTTGGCACATAAATGTCATATTGATTGCACAGTGATGTTGTTACTTGTTCTGTCTAACAAATCCCCTGCCCAAATTAATAAAGCTGTCACTCCCCCTTGCCCTTTTCTTTTCACTGTAAAGGTTTTTCCTTTAGCTATACTCAGTGATAATTCAAGAGACAGCTGTTCAGTGCTTAGCTTCCATAGGAACCATCCTTTGTGTTTATAGAACTAAGCGACATTTTGACGCTGAGGGTTAATCGCTGTGTGTCTCTCCTTCTCAAGCTTACAGCTGATGTCAAAGAGTTGATTTTTGCCCTTCCAAAATCCCGAAAGTTGTCATGAATGATTTACCTGTTTCCACAGAACTGTCTGAAATACGGCTTTTGAATCAATAAAGAATGTGTTGTTGCTGTTCTTGTTTTAATCTACTTGGGCATGAACATCTGACAGAGTTTTGAAATACTGATAGTTTGCTTTCACAGATTTTCAGTTGTTGAGTAAATGAGTAATTGGGGGAAAGTCTTCCAGAAGGAAATGTCTTTTTTCTTCAACTCATGTGCTCATTAAAAGGGCAATGTGTGGGGCGGGGGTGGGGGTGGTGGAAGCACGGAGAATAGAAGTAGGGAGAAGGAAATAAATGAAGCAGTGAAGAGAGGCAGGCAGCTGAGGAAGGCTCAGGAAGGAGAAGGAATTGAGAAAATGGGGCCAAAGAAAAGAAAAGAAGAACCAATCAGGAACATAGAACAGAAATGAGGAGGGGAAAATTTATGTGCCACCGTATGTACAGTTCAAACCGAGGATAGATGTTTGGGGTCAGAAAAGTAATAGAATGTTTCTAAAATATACTCTGTTCTTGTGATTTACATCAACTTAGGGTTCTTTCAAATGGGGGGGGAGTTCCAGCCCCCTCCACTTCTTATTTGTCCAAAAGTGGCATGGAGCTTACCATAAATCATTTCCAGACTGTACTTTTAGAAGCAACCTCTCAGAAAATTGTTTCTTTCATAAGAAATTTGGAAATCTAAAAAAAAAGGGGGGGAAGCACTCCCCTTCAGGAGGCAGGTATGTCTCCTCTATCAGTCAATCGTTTCCTGTCTCAAACTGAAGCTTTAAACAGAGCAGTTGTGACCCTCTTGTGTCCCCTCCCCCATGAAGAGGCAATGTCAAAAGACCCTTGGGAGATACACATGTGAGCCACTCCCAGCGAACACCTGTTCATTCCATGTTAAAAATATAAGTTGCCCCTCCAGTATTAAATCCCATCAGGTCTGCACTAAGTCCCAACTTCCCTTAGAGAAAGGCCCAGAAATGGTTCTGCTAACTGTCCCAGGACCACACCCAGTCTTTCTTGCCATTTGCTCTTGGTATGTACGTCTCCCACTTGCTGTCTAGGTGGCTGGTCAGGTCATAGTTTCTTTGTCTTCCATGTGGCAGAGGTACCATTTTGAGGTCAGAGTAGGTTGTGCTTCTTGTTCAGTGAGTTAGTCCAGAATGGACATAGGGACGATCTTCGAAGGGCGAAATAGTCTTCTTCATGCCTGCTGCAGATTACCTGAGCTTCTCTGTCTTCAGTGCCCACACACTTTTCTTCCTCCTCATCCTCCCCTGGGTCTTCCTGGAGCTCCACTTCACTAGAGTGGTCCTTTCGGACCAGATAGGCTTTCCTGGAGCTCCACCTCACTAGATCTCACAATCTTCTCCCCTTTTTATTTTTATTGCTTTAAACCACTCTAGCCCCTTTCACTTCTGAGGTGACTCAAATTAGTGGTGGGCAGCTCCTCTTCCTTTGCATCTGTTGTGGTAGAGCTGGTCAATGATGGAAAAGGGCCCTCCGCATGTGGTGTGGTGATTTGGCTATGTCCCTCCTCCCAGCTGGGCCACACAGGATGCCAGAGATGGGGTCCTAATGGCATGTTTCTGGCCACTGTGGGAGGCACAAGCATAGACCCCACCCAGGTGACTCCACTGGCCTGTCACACATGTGAAAAAGCCTTTAGCCAAATATTCTTTTTTGTTTCCCATAAATGCTGTGTTTTTGTACTGTCCAAAATGGATCATATATACATTACTTTTGTTTTACTGGAGAGCACCTGAACCACAAAGCATTAAACACTTTTAACAAGGACTTTAAAGACCCTTTGTCTTCCACAGAACCCTGGCATTTCACTAAAAATCTGCAAAATAACACCCAGACCAAGTCCTTCAGTGACTACACAGTGTCACAAGGTAAGCAAGATATAAATGCTTCTAAGTTGCTTGGATTTAAAGTCTTGATGAGCTTTCACTAATTCCCAAAGGCAATGAAAAGGTTTTGCTTAGAGCTATCATAAAACAGACAAGCACAAATTATAACAGTCTCAAAAGGGGGAAACAGTGAATTTGTTTTTATGAAATGAATTAAGCATCTGACTATTATCTTCTCATCATTTCATGAATGCATTTTCAAGTAATGAGGTACGGTGCAGAGAGAGTTGAAATCATGGAATCACAACACTTCGGTTGCGGGCAAAGTATATTTTCCATCTTTGAAGACGGTCTAGCTAACCACTGCTCAGAAAGGATCTCTTTTTTTACAACAATGCCAAGAAGATCCTAGCTAATATACTTAGTGACTGTACACAATTGCTGCCCTTGTTCTTGTCTGTCTGGTGAATTCATATTTAATTTCCACATTATTTAAAAATCTTTAGCACCCAAAATGTGCCTCCTGATCTACCATGGTAGCAAGAGGACTTTTTAAATCTTAGAGACCAAAACTGGAGAGGGTAGGGGATAAAAAAAAAATCAAAACAATTGCCCAAATCTCTGTTTTCTTGAGTATTTTCACTTCCATCTGATATTAAGCCAGAGTGCAAATGGGAAATGTTAGAACAAGATATCTCTTTATTTCCTTCTGAAATACACCTACACAAAGTCCTTTCTCCATCGCCTGGAAACTGAATAGGGCGCTACAAGCACTGTATAGTACTTTTGCTGGCTATACAATAGTACTCAGATTAAGACAATTCTGTTTGTATTACTGCCTGGAAATATCACTCTTGGAAGATTCTAACTAGTGGCCTCAGGGATAATGCTTGGTCTTTGCAATTATGATTCTCCTAACACAATCATTTCCCAAGTCTAACATGTTTAGCTGGCTGCTGCTCTTTCTGGCATTGGAGGCTTGCTTGACTTACAAGCTGTGAAAAGCTACCACCTGTGGCAAGCCATTCTGTGTGTCATCGTTCTTACATGTAACACACACAATTAGGCGCAAGCACACAAATATTGATTGCTAATTCCCAGACTATCTCTGACACATGTTTTTGTGCAGGGTCACTGCTCTCTTTTCTGATTTAAAATGCTTCTTTTTCTGCTGTTACTGCTTTTTTAGATAGACTAGTGGGAAATAAACTGCATTTGTACATAAGCTTTTCCAGAATGAGGCGCATGAGGTATAGATTCAGAGACCTTCCCTATTCCCCAGAGAGGGAAGGCATGTAAAATTCACCCAGGACATAGATGGGATGAGAGGCCGTAATTCATTATCTGTCTAATCTCACTAAAGACCAAATCTGTACTTTTTGCAGTGCTAGATCCACTGGAGCTAGATTTTTCATTAAAATATTTTCAAATGAATTGGCTTCTGGAAACTGTTTTGTCTTTTCACAGGTCTAAAGGATTTTACTTCAACAACCCAGAAAACCTCTATTCATGTGACTCATCTCCGTGAGAATATAACAGCATCACAACGTAAGTGCTTAGCCCTTTTTGAATTCAACTATTGTTGTACGACAAATATGCTATAAATCAGAGTTCTTCAGATTAGTGAGCAATAACAGGGGAAAGCCCATGGAAGATCATTTAGGAACATTCAAGGACAAAGGATAACAGCCTTTGTGGACTCCACGCTGATACCAAAACTGACTTTGGGAGGTTGGGGAATTGAGAAAATTGTGGACACATAGAGGTAATAGTGTACGTCAGCATGATATATGAAACCACACAAGGTGCTATTGCCTATGTGCACAAAATCAGGAATGGAAACATAGATTATATGGCAATGGCTATGCTGGCTGTTCAATTCTGGAAGCCATCATTTACAAAATAATAAATAATAATATGATAAAAATATACTTTTTCTAACTCTACATGAAAGTTTGAAAGTTAAGGATGAACCTTGAAACTGTAGTTTCCATGAACCAGCTAGAAGATATGTTTCTTATTATAATAAGTCATTCTAGAGTAGCCCCATTGAATCAGTGATGATTTGATGTTAACTCATTGGTATGTTGCAGTGATTCAAATGGCGATCCTCTAAGTTATGACTTACTACACTAGAGTAAGCCACAACCAGTGTATGCCCACTTGAATCAATGCAATTTACAGAGGAATAGACGGACCAAATTGCCACTGATTCAATAGGCTTAATCTAGCGCAATTTACTGTGCTAAGCAAGAGGATTTCAGCCAATATATGTTATAGGTAAAAACCAAATAAAAATAAAAAAATAAAGTAAAAGAACAAATAAAAAACAAAAATATGATTACACCTTAATGACTGTCTTTTTTTAAAAAATGTGAGCATTTATGGACAAGTCCACTTCCTCAGATGTAAGAGTTAATCTGTGATTATATTTAAGATTGTTTTCTTTTGATTGTTAGTTGCCTTTGGCATTTTCCCAAGTGGATATGCACAATAAAATGGGACTAATTAGAGAAATAAATCACAGTGCTCACATTGTTAAAACATGAAATGTCAGAATACTAAATCAAGTTTGGTGTAATATATAGTATGTTTCTTTCTTCTGTCAGGAAATCTGCTCACAAGAAGAAATGAACTAACAACACAAATGAGCCATGCTAATTTACTCATTACAAATAGTTGGTTCCATAACACTAGTAAGCCGTAATGAATTGAGCCCCTTTTAGGAGAAAGGTGGAGTACAAATATTTTAAATAAATAATTAAAAACTGCCTTAAACTTGTTGTTTATTCATTAAGTCATGTCCAACTCTTCGTGACCCCATGGACCAGAGCACGCCAGGCCCTCCTGCCTTCCACTGCCTCC